GGGGCGTGTAGAGAAAATGGGGAGTGAAGTTAAGCTCGGGAAGAAGAGAGCGGTGGGGGGAAGGTGTTTTAAAGATTTGGTTTTATTTCTCGCTATCCTATTTGATTGTTAATAAATGAAACTAATTTCCCCAAGTTGAGTCTGTTTTGCCCGTGATGGTAATTGGTGAGTGATCTCTCCCTGTCCTTATCTCGACCCATGAGCCTTTCGTTATATTTTCTCTCCCCTGTCCAGCTGAGGAGGGGAGTGATAGAGCAGCTTTGGTGGGCACCTGGCGTTCAGCCAGGGTCAACCCACCACATCCATACAGTTTAATAAAATAAAAAACCCCAAACTTCTGATCAATGACTTACCTTTAAGAGAGCCAAGGCCACATGGAAGATTATGTTCATACCCTGAAAATAAGAAGAAAAAGACTTCAATCAGTCCCAGTACACAAATCTCTCCTTTCTATTACTTATCACTAAGTAGCATCATAACTAGATGCTGCAAATCTCTAGGGAATGCTTCCCTTTTCCCTGCTACCCTTCAAAGTCCATCATTAACGCCCCAAGGCAGTTTCCAAACTCCCGGCTGGGGAAGATGATGGCTCTTTGGAGCTTTTGGAATCTCACTGTTCAATTCGTCAGGTGCTATGGATGTGACAAGATATCCCTCCATCGTTTCAGTATCTGTCAATGCTGGTTTTCATTAACAGTGCAGAATATTGTAACAAGCAGGGTATGAAGAAAATGTAATAAATATTCTAGTTGATAGGATTTCTGCCAAGTAACTGAGCTTAGCTGTGATTAATCATGTACAATCTTTCATGCTCAAACTGTAAAAAACCAAAATAAAACAAAAAAAAATCCACAAGTACAAAATATACTTTTTTTCTGTTATCAGCCAAAATCAAAACTATTTCATAGGTAAGCAAATTGATGTCTGTATCAAATAGTCTGCTTTCTGGTTTGCAAAAGCTGGGAATACATGTGTACAGACATTCATTCAGTGAATAATACGACGACATTGTCCGGTTATTTGAAAATCAAAGAGAGTAAAAACCATTCCACTGACTACAGAGGGGTGAAAAAGGCTACCTGTCCACTTACATTGTATACAAAAATAAGAAATATTACTCCTCTGCTTTTGTTCAACATCTTATTTTGAACAATCGAGACCTCGAGATTTTCCCTGGGGAAAGGTGAACACATACCCAGAATGAGGCTCCTTTGGAGCAGCCTAACTGAAACTACTCTTGGGGTCCTGCTTGGAAAACTAGCCAGGGGCAGCTCAGGCCAGAGGACACGAGACGACAGCCTTGCTAGCAGTGCACACATTGCCTCTGCTGATGGAAGAGACTCTCCTGTCTGTGGCCTACATATCTTGATTATTTAAGATTATAAATAGCTTTGTGTTCACCCAAATATGAAAAATACCATATGCAATTCTCATTTGCTGTACTATGTACTTTGTGTTCAGACTGTTTTCCTAGATTATATTTTACAAATCTTCTTGCCTGCTTGTTTAATGGCATGATAAATCTTGTCTTGTAATATCTTTCAGAGCTGATATCTAAAAACGCCTCAACAGATTTGCACACAAGCAATACTGCCACTGCAATACATATTGTTGTGGGATAGCAACAGGCCTTTTTATAAGGGAACCTTCTCCAAGAAATTTCTCCTTCTGCAATTGAGTATTTTTCCAAGCCTCTTCCTGAAAGCCTGAGACCATATTTCTATAAAAATTAGCTTTTATAAAAATCTGCAGAGACTTCACAGGCATTCTTGGGAAGAAATTCTATTTTTTTTACATGGATAGTATGGTGCCTTGAAGGGATTTTACCATTAATGAGTCTTGGAAATGCTACAACATTAGACATAATGAATATTGCAACACTCTGTGAATTACTTTGCAATTTGATGCATAATCATTATGATAACAAACTGACTTTTTCCACTAGAGGTCACAATTGTAGCAGGACTGAACCTTCCTTCATTAATAGGAACCCTTCTTCCAAATGGGATAACAAATATTTCAAGTACAACAACAGTTATTTTGCTTTTTATACTTCTTTTTAATAGAAAAAATGTCTGGCTGTGAATTTCAGTCATGACACTGATAATACTAGAGCACCAGCAGCAGTAAAGTAAGTTCATAGTACTCTCAGTTTTATTCCAAATATCAGTCTGAAGTCAATAGTTCATTCCACACAGTCATGACATTACAACTTTTATTTCGTAACAGAGAGGATTTGATGTGAACATACAATCTATAAATGAGAGGCATAACTACAAGCCACCACAAACGTGTTTTCTTCTTAACTAACTGATTGATCAGATTTTGTTATTTTATGAGTAGAAGTATTATGTCTAATTGTTGGATTACTGAGGAATTAGTGTCCTGTGTATTTTCTGGCACTACAAAAAAAAAAACCAAACCCCAGAAAGAAAACCAACCCACTTTTCATTTATTTTCTAAATAATTTTTTTCTGATCTGCCTGAAACTCACATTGTTCCTGAATTCAAACTAATCAAACTGTCTCCTGGTACTCCTCTTATATGATCGCTCTTCACATGGATAGCAAATGCAGCAGAAATATGTTTCCTCCTGCCTTGAGAATCCCCAGCTCTTCTTCTAGCCCCACCGGGCAAGGGGCAGCTCACAGACTCCCTCACGTTACTTGAGATAACCTGTTCAACGCACAAGCACCCTAAAATCCGAACATCAAAAGGACTTAAAACCTTTGTATACAGCTGTCCTGAGCGGCACTCCACTACTCCTGGCAACAGAAAACAACCTCCACCTTCCTCTTTCCTCAAAGGCAGAGGTAACTCCCCAGTCAAGGCAATATGTTAGACCTGAGGCATCAATTGCTGCAGTTTCATGCTTACAAGCTTGGACTTGCTGGACCTGAAGGACTAATATACCCCTTGACAGCTGAGTGAATTGGAGGTAGCATCTGGCAATCTACAGTAAGGCTTCTACTCATGTTTGGATTTACAGCAAGATGCTTTACATTTCAAATGCATGGCCTTTACCCACCCATTTTAACAACACATTTTATAACCACTGATCTACATACTTGTGTTATTTTTTCCTAATGCATGCAAGACTATTCTGACATAGCCAAGTTTAATGATTATGATAAAGAAGGCTCAGCTCATTTTTCCACAATCTCTTATTTAAAATCCTACTTCATTTACCACACACTGATTTATAAGATTCAGCTTAAACTTCTCCATCTATTTTAGAAGAAGGACCAAAAATACCAATGTGCACCAGACATATAAATCATTGCTAGCAATATCCCTCCAGCAATTTCATAATGGAAACATGAAAGTACACACAAATCATCCACAGGGGAAAAGAGAAGGAAGCCCAAATTAAATAAACTTTGGATAATTACTTTTTAAAACCAAAAGTCACATGTTTAACTAGGCATTTGGAAATAAATGCTTTAATATCATGCAGGTCTCATCTTAATATTTAAAAAAATTGCAAATATGAAGGTTGTTCACAATTACCTAACACTTGTGGGTTTTATATACAACAGTCAAAACTAAAAATATACACTATTACTAAACAAGAACTGTTGTAAGAGCACAGGAATGGTTATGGGCTTATCAACATGTCATATCGCTTCTCAATTGTACGGCCAGTCTCTTGCTTTTCAACCTGAGAGGCTTTGCTGCTACTGAGTAAATGGAGGAGGAGTGTGCAGCCTGCACAGCTTGCAGACATTAGGCCCACAGGCAAGGATCCCAGAAATGAGGCATGTGGATATCCTCCTCCAAGGAGCTTTTAACTAGGCTTTTGGAGAAGGCCAGCAGTTTCTATGACAGCCTGTCTTAGAGGCTTATCTGCCTAGTTAAGCATCTGCACAGTATCTTCTTTTTTCCAACAGGTACTATTTAGGAACCCTCTTAAGCTTGTGTAAAGGCCTAGAGCATTTTAACAGATCTCATTAAGCTCAGGAGTTTTGGAGAAGGAACAAGCCCATCTCAAAGCAGACAACTCGACTATTCTGCAGTCAAGATGGTAAGATACGGGTCAGGAAAGGGAAAATTTTAGAGTTTGTGCTATTGTAGAGCCTCCTTATGGCTC